GCATTCCATGTGGTTTCAGGTGATAAATAATTAACCCTCCACCTGAGAACACAATAACATTATAAAGACGTGTGATAATATACTTTTAAAAAATAGAGTTATTAAGATGTCCACAAGCATAGACCTATCGAAAACCAGGATAATTACGCAATCCATGATGCCAAAAAATAGTGAGAGACTAATGCAACCCATATTACATTTGATAATGCCTTTTTTTTTTTTTTTTGATCATTTTGACATTTTCAACCTTCAAAACATTGGAACTTTTTCCTACCTTAAAACTTTAAGACTTTTCCAACCTTCAAACATTTCTTACAAAATTCAACCTACAAAAAAAAATATTCAAGCAATTAGAAGATAACGGATCTATCTAAGCACTTAAATACCATGTTTTGACAATAACAGGGCATCAATATCTCAAATTTTTTGTATTGCATTTCAAAAAATATTTTTAAAAAAAGGGAAGGAAAAGTGTTATACAGTTTTAACATCATTAACTAGAAAACTAAAAAATAAAGAAATAATAAAAGATTATTGATTAAATAAAAGTTATTAAAAACTTAAAAATTATTTAATATAAAGTGTTTTTATTTAATTCAATGTATTAATTCACAAATATTAGTGAAAGACTGGGTTAAGAGCACCAATTTTGCGCCACAGTCCGGACCAGGCGCACAACTCAGGTGTGCAGTCCGTTGGCTGCATGCATTTATTAATTGTTTAGATTGTTTTATTTTCTATCAGTTGTAGATATTTATTAATTGTTTAGATAATTTTAATATTTATATTATTTCTATTTAATTAATGTAGTAGTTTTCATTATTTATTAATTAATAATTTTATTTTATTACTATATTTTTTTATTAATTACCTAAATTTATTAATTGTTCATGTAATTTTAATAATTTTAGTATTTATATTTAATTAGTTTAGTAGTTTTCATATAAAATCTTATTAATAATATTTTTATTTATTGCGCGTAGGCGGTTGACCTGGCCGCTGATAGCCTTTTTTTTTTATTCCCTTCCAAAATTTACTAAAATATTTTTTTAAAAAATGCATACCTGTGATGTTGGAAAGCTTTTGCCTCTGTCTTAGGCAAGATTTGTTATGATTTCTGGTGTTAATCGTTAAAGTACTTGAGGATTTGAAGTAGTTAAAATTAAGGATTTGAATGTTTCCTTTTAAAATTGTAGAAATAATTGCCAAACGGTAATAATTTGGCATAGCACGAGCATGAGTTCTTTTGGTTTAGGAAAAATTTGGATTAAGGACAGTGGGGAGTTTTTAATTAATAAAAGGGGTATAAGTTTTAGATAATATGGATTAAGGGTAGTAAATTATTTTCTTAAAATCTTAAAATTAAATTGTTTATGTACTACCATAACTGCCCTTAGTCTTTTGATCCTGTCACGTTGAACTAGATTAAAAAAGAGACAAAACCCTTTTACTTTTTTTCTTAGCCGCGCGCGAATCTTCTCTCTACCAAATATTCTTGTACTGCTCAACATCATCACTCTCTTGAGTCCGCTCCCTAACCTTTTTGTGAATTTCTTTTTTGTATCTTTGCTCACGGTGCTTTGCTTCTGTAAGTTTTACTCCCTCAAATAAGTATTGGTCATCTTCAATTTCATCCATGAGTTCTTCAAGCTTCTTTTGCTCCCTTTTCTTCAAGTATTCCTGCCTTGAAAATACTCTCAACATGTCCATTTCATCACTCTCTAAAGGCTTTGATATCTGAATCGCTTCCTCTATTGTGGTTATATGCACCAAAATGGAAGTGGCTTCCTCCTTTTTTTTGTTAAGCTTTGCTCGCTTAAATTTTTAGTCTTGGCTCCATCGCGTTCTCTAATGTGTTGCTCCAACTCTTCTCTCTCTTTGATCATGCAATCTTTCATCTTCATACTATTTTTTAAGATCATATAAGTATATAAGCAGTACACCTTAAAACCTCTGGACCATCACTTTCATCCTTGGAAGTTCGTCTCTCCGAAGAATTAAATTCCTTCAGTTACCTCTTCCTCTAAGAATTTAGATTGTCAGCTTCAAGAGTCATTACTTGCAGGTAATTCTGCAAACAAAAACAATCAAATTTTCAAGGATCACAACGATGAAAAACAAAGGAAACAATGTGCAAACAGGAGATCGATTACAATAACCAAGTGATACAGTATAATTTCATGGACAAATTATGAGAATCACAAGTTTAAGAATCCATTATATTCTTCATCCGACCACTTATAGGTCTAGTAACAAGCTAACATAATCAAACCAAGATTTGGAGGGTCAAAGAAGTTGTTATCTGTAAAGTGGTAGTTGAGATGCAAAGAACCCAAAAGAAACTCCCACACAAGAACATTGAGATTTAATAATGAATAAACTGGACCACACTCCCTCAACAAATAAAAAAGGCCAAAAATATGGAGGCTTGCTTGATTGATCTTTAGAAACTACAGCAGCATCCAGTATAGTACACTAAAAAGGTTAAGATAAGAAACTAAGAGTTGTACGGGATCCGCAATAGCTTAATGTCCAAATACTTCAAAATGTAGTTCCAGTTAACATAAATAAGCAAAACTGAAGAGAGATTGAAGATTACAAAAAAAGTACAACATGCAGTAAGCTAATTAACATATACAAACTTCAACCAACCTCCAATTCTCGTTTGTTGTCATCAAGAATTTTTATTTCAGATTGAGCTTGTCTAAGCTGCACAAATGCCAGAAGAAACACAATAGGTAATTAATGGACAGCTATAAACCTTTGTGGAATCCACAGAAAGCAATAACCGTTAAGGGAAAAAATTAAAGCAAAATGTTTTCAAACCTTTTCTATAAGAAAATCTCTTGATTCCAAAGACGTCTGTTCAAGCCTCTAACTCTATCTTCACTGCCCTCTGATGATCTCAAATTTCCATGGGAATCACTGTCTTTCATATGTTGTGTCTTTGTGCGTTTCCTGACAGTGAATGTGAAATATTTGATCTTAGAAATAGACTACACTACAAAAGATCACATTGAAACACATGAGAACTAACATACAGAAAATAAATTATATCAAATTCAATACTCAACTCCTCGTAACCAAAATTCCTGGATTTAATTTCAATAACGAAAACAATGTCATTAACTTATACTGTTCTTTCAACTACATAAATCAGATGTAGCACAAACGTGCATAAAAAAATCTCCAGGGGGGCTTAATACGCTCTCACTATTGGGTATTGGACTTAAGATATTACTTATGGCCCCATCGTAAGATACTGCAAAATCTAAACTAACTATAGCTTCATTATTTATTTCCGTTGTAAGCAAGCTTATTTAAGTCCCACCTCCAAAATCATCATCAATTCATCCTCATCATCGTCCTCTAAGATAGTATGTGTTGTTTGCTTCAATTCCTAGCTAGCAATGTCGCCTCTCTCTCTCTCTGTTGATAAAGATTAGGACCAGATGCCTTATGATCAACTCGTGAAAATATTTGTTGTGTAAAGGCCTTAGTTTCACTGGAGGATGCTATAATTATCTTGCAAAATTGTTGAACATGAATATTCGGTGGAGAGAGGATTCGCACGCGGCTAGAAAATAAGTAGAAGGTTTTTGTCTCTTTTTAAAACTAATTCAACATGATAGGATGAAAAGAGTAAAGGCAGTTACAATAGTGCATAAACAATTTAATTTTAGGATTTTAAGAAAATAATTTACTGTCCTTAATCCATATTATCTAAAGCTTATACCCTTTTATTAATTAAAAACTCCCTACTGCCCTTAATCCAAATTTTTCCTTTGGTTTATATTCTTGATTGTGATTAACTATAGTGGGTTTATTGTTTGAAACGCAAAGGTGTCGCCTAGTATAATTTGAGCTGCATTGAAAATTACATTTTTTATTAAAAAAAGATTCAAGTAGTAATTCTTTTATTTTATACTCTCCCTTTCAGTCCTGAAATAATTATCTACCTTGAATTTGCATGGCGAATTATTTTATTGTTGTCATAAAATTCAATGAATTTATGTTTCATAATAAAATTCCAAAATTTGAATAAAGCTGGTTATACAATATTTCTTTCAAGTTATTGGACGAACAAATTTAAGATATATTCTCTTACTAACACAGTTTCATTTTCCAGAATTTTTAACAATGAAGAAAACATAAAGTAGTGAAGTTTTGATTAAAGTGATAAAGTAATTAATAAAATCATATTTATTAATTTCATATAATTTAAGTATATCAAAAAAAAAGTAGTACAGTTAAACATCTATAAATTAATACTGTTAGGACGTCAAAAAATTATTAATTTATCGATGTATTAATTTTATCGATAAATTAATAACTATTAATTTATCGATTAATAAATACTTGTAATTTATAGAAAATTCCAAAGAATCCTTTTAATGTTTTAAGTTTAGCCATATAAGATTTATATTCTTTTATTCCCTTATATCTCATAGGCATTAGAATCTAGACTCCAACTATCATCTTAAATTTTATCATCTACCTAATCTATGTTACATGCATCTGTTAAAAGAGATTTGACCTTTTTTTGCAAAATCTTTAAACTCTCATCAATGGCTGGATAGATCATGCAACAAATTCATAACATCTACAATACTTTGATTCTCATTCTCATAGTTTTTGTTTTTCAAGTCATTATTAATTTATGGTATTGACGGGACCTATATTCACATAGGAGTGTTTTAAAAAAATTATTATCTTATTATTTTATCGATCATCTTTATTTTTTGAACTGGTCCCGACTTGGGACCGGAAAAAATTATTAATTTATCGATACTATTAATTTATCGATTATTAATTTATCGATGTTCTACTATAGTTATCTTTTAATTCGTATACTTTGCTGTAAAAAACTCTGGAAAGAAATAGGAAACACTCTTCTTCTCACGCTCGTAAAAGTAGAAACTTTTTTTTTTTTTTTCGTTTCAAAATGGGATTCGATCGGATTCTGAATCACCCCTATAAATTGTTAATGAAGGAATTCGATGGATTCAATGTTTCCTCTTGGTTTTCTTTTGAGGTGTATATATATATTCCGCTCCCTCTCCAAAAATCGTAATCCAACCCTTTTGCGAGCTTCTTCTTCCGATGCCTCAACAATTTAAGTGTAAACTTATGTGAAAGTAATGTGTTCATTGTATTGAGATTGTACAAGATTAGGTCATATATGGACTGATACAACACCAATGATACAAAAGGAAACTATTCTATTTTATCTATACATACAAGGTAAATATTGACAGAATTATTCTCAATATTAAGGGCTTTGAGAGTCGTGAGGTATATTGTGGAGGAACCTGAATTTGTGATCTCCGGCCGCCAGTTTTCCGTATACAGCAAGACCTATGACGGCGGCGCCGTATCGTTTCAACTCATATCTCCGACCCCAATCCGCGGCCCTCCTCCAGTTGCCGCCGTCCGCGGGTTAAATCTCCAAAATATTACACGGTTTCTTAAGGGACGAGCCTCTGATAGGGATAAGACTACCGTCTCCATCGAGGTCATCCGAGAGATGAATGCTATTGTTTTCAAGGCTGATGATGACTCTATTGATGACTCCATATTGACGCTGACTTATGTCGACATGTTGTCGGGTTTCCACGTCGAACGCCACCAAGTTGAGGACATATATTATGATGCTACTGTGACACTTTCCCATTGTGAATTTGTTAGAGCTGTGTCGGCCTTTAGTGGGTTCCCAGGTAATGTTTTGGGGAGACGTTGCCGGGATAAATCGGCCGGTGCGGCCAGCTTTGACACGGTTAAGATGTCGGCGTCGACTGAAGGGATTAAGTTCGGCTTGCAACGTTATTCACTCTTTTACCCGGCGGCAAGCTTGACCTTGATCTTCTTAAGCAAGCATTCGTGGCGGTCTTGCAGTCACCGCATGGAGTAACCATCCGTCTCCGTCGTCGGTGTTGGAAATTTTAGTTTGTAAAATAAAATAATTAATTTAAAATTGAAGGATAAAATTAAGTTGGCAACCCTTCACATGCTTGGTGGTTATTTCCTACAAGCCAAGGGTTGTGTACTTATTTTGTATCCTTTTATTTCTGCAAATGTTGCCTATAAATAGGTGAACTAGTGCAGGAATTCATTTTAACTTTTGCATTCCAAAATCCTGAAGAACATTCAATAAGTTGCAAATTGCATGTTCTTGTGTTCTTAAGTCCTAGAGGCAAATTGCCATTCAACCCTGTTTGCAATCTAGTGGGGGCAAATATTGTCTTAAGGGTAGTGTTTGACACGATTAGAGCACTTTTGTGAATTTCTTTTGTTGTTGAATTTCAGATTCCATCAATAAAGTTTCTTTTCTCCATCTTTGTTCTTTGGTTCATATTGTGTTGTTTCTTTTGTTTCCATCCCCCGATTTCTTTCAATCATAAAGTTTCTTTTCTCCATCTTTGTTCTTTGGTTCATATTGTGTTGTTTCTTTTGTTTCAATTCTTTCACTCTCCATCTTAGTTTTATATTACAAACTATCTCCATCTTAGTTTTATATTACAAACTAAGTGGGGGAATGTTGGAAATTTTAGTTTGTAAAATAAAATAATTACACAATCATGAGAATCGCGCTTAAGAGGTGGTGACTTTCGTCTTAAACCACATCGTAGTGGAATTAAGTCACCTAACTAGCTAAGTTATTGGTGGCTCGTTGCTTAAACCAATAATCAGTTTAGTATAGACTTAATAATTCACGCGCAAACACTCATAGCATTCCTTGTAATCCACATTATCATTTAGCACTATTACCGGCCATGTGCTCATCCTAGATTCTTGACCATGTACAAGAGATAACCTCAAACTCTTGCTAGAAGCGGCACCACTTCTATGGTCAAATAGGTGAAATTTATTCAAATTCATTATTTTACCGTAATTGAATAATCATGAATAATTTCATTAAGAGATTGCTCTCAACCTGCTCACTTAAGAGTAACATAAATGCACCAATACTATGGAATGATATATACACTGATTTGGTGCCCCAATTACTAAACAACTTGTTATTACCCTTTAAACCTTTCAATCTAGGGGTAGTACTAGAAGAAGGTTGGGTTTCCATTGTTAGTAATTTTAGATACAAGGTTTTAAACCCATTCCGGATGTTGTCGAAACCACTAACTCTCTCGCAAGAGGTTTAGTCAACGGATCCGCCAAGTTTTTGTGTGTTCTAACAAACACAATTGAGACAACATCATTGTTCAGCATTTCTCTGACATATTCATGTCTTATACTGATATGTCTAGATTTACCATGTGCCAGATCCATCAAGACGATCCAACTTAACAAAGTCTTGGTTAATCACTTTCATGGCAGACTCTTGGAAAGAAGCTATGAATTCAAGAGATGCCACATTTTGGAAAGAAGCAGTCAATGATGAAATGGATTCAATATTATCTAACAATACTTGGGTTCTAGTTGACTTGCCTCAAGGCTCTAAGCCAATTGGGTGTAAATGGGTATTTCGAAGGAAATATGCCACAAATGGAACTATACTTACTTATAAGGCAAGACTAGTAGCAAAAGGATTTAGGCAAAAAGAAAGAATTGACTACTTTGATACTTATGCACCAGTGGCAAGGATTACTTCGATTAGAGTAATCCTAGCTTTGGCTTCCATTTACAATGTACCAGTTCATCAAATGGATGTTAAGACAGCATTCTTAAATGGTGATTTGGATGAAGAGTTGTACATGGAGCAACCGGAAGGCTTTGTGCTACCGAGTCATGAACACAAGGTGTGTAAGTTGGTTAAGTCATTATATGGACTTAAACAAGCCCCGAAACAATGGCATGAGAAATTTGAATCTGTTTTACTTTCACATGGTTTTAGGTATAATCATGCTGATAAATGCATTTATACCAAAGCATGTAATGAGTATACAGTGATCATTTGTCTATACGTTGATGATATGCTCATTGTTGGTACTACATTGAAAGGTGTGGTTGAGACTAAGAAATATCTTTCTTGTAAGTTCCAAATGAAGGATCTTGGTGAAGTAGATACTATCTTAGGAATTAAGGTTAAGAAGCATAGTGAAGGTTTTGTACTCTCTCAATCACATTATGTGGACAAGATACTAACAAAGTATCAACACTTGAATGTAAAGGAAGCATCTTCTCTTTATGATCGTAGCATGAAACTTTGTGTAAATAAGGGTAAACCAATTGCACAACTAGAGTATGCTAGTGTGATTGGAAGCCTTATGTATACTATGAGTTGTACAAGGCCAGATATCTCTTATGCAGTATGTTACCTTGCAAGGTTTACTCATTGCCCTGGTATGGAACATTGGAAAGCTATCACTAGAGTCTTGGGATATCTTAAAAGAACCAAAGATTTGGGACTCTATTATAGCCGATTTCCTAGTGTTCTTGAGGGTTATTCTGATGCCAGTTGGATATCTGGAAGTAATGAGAAGAACTCCACCAGTGGTTGGTTGTTTTTACTTGGTGGTGGTCTTGTTTCTTGGGCATCAAAGAAGCAAACGCTTATAACTCATTCCACTATGGAATCTGAGTTTGTAGCTCTATCCTCAGCTTGTAAGGAGGCAGAATGGTTGAGAGATCTTTTGTTAGATCTAGAAATTTGGCCAAAACCCATGCCGCCGATAACCTTACATTGTGATAGTGAAGCAACAATGTCTACAGCATTGAACAAAGTGCACAATGGTAAATCTAGACATATCAGTATAAGACATGAATATGTCAGAGAAATGCTGAACAATGATGTTGTCTCAATTGTGTTTGTTAGAACACACAAAAACTTGGCGGATCCGTTGACTAAATCAAACACACAAAAACTTGGCGGATCCGTTGACTAAACCTCTTGCGAGAGAGTTAGTGGTTTCGACAACATCCGGAATGGGTTTAAAACCTTGTATCTAAAATTACTAATAATGGAAACCCAACCTTCTTCTAGTACTACCCGTAGATTGAAAGGTTTAAAAGGTAATAACAAGTTGTTTAGTAATTGGGACACCAAATCAGTGTATATATCATTCCATAGTATTGGTGCATTTATGTTACTCTTAAATGAGCAGGTTGAGAGCAATCTCTTAATGAAATTATTCATGATTATTCAATTACGGTAAAGTAATGAATTTGAATAAATTTCACCTATTTGACCATAGAAGTGGTGCCGCTTCTAGCAAGAGTTTGAGGTTATCTCTTGTACATGGTCAAGAATCTAGGATGAGCACATGGCCAGTAATAGTGCTAAATGATAATGTGGATTACAAGGAATGCTATGAGTGTTTGCGCGTGAATTATTAAGTCTATACTAGACTGATTATTGGTTTAAGCAACGAGCCACCAATAACATAGCTAGTTAGGTGACTTAATTCCACTACGATGTGGTTTAAGACGAAAGTCACCACCTCTTAAGCGCGATTCTCATGATTGTGTAATTATTTTATATTACAAACTAAGTGGGGGAATGTTGGAAATTTTAGTTTGTAAAATAAAATAATTAATTTAAAATTGAAGGATAAAATTAAGTTGGCAACCCTTCACATGCTTGGTGGTTATTTCCTACAAGCCAAGGGTTGTGTACTTATTTTGTATCCTTTTATTTCTGCAAATGTTGCCTATAAATAGGTGAACTAGTGCAGGAGTTCATTTTAACTTTTGCATTCCAAAATCCTGAAGAACATTCAATAAGTTGCAAATTGCATGTTCTTGTGTTCTTAAGTCCTAGAGGCAAATTGCCATTCAACCCTGTTTGCAATCTAGTGGGGGAAAATATTGTCTTAAGGGCAGTGTTTGACACGATTAGAGCACTTTCAATTCTTTGTGAATTTCTTTTGTTGTTGAATTTCAGATTCCATCAATAAAGTTTCTTTTCTCCATCTTTGTTCCTTGGTTCATATTGTGTTGTTTTTTTTGTTTCCATCCCCCGATTTCTTTCAATCATAAAGTTTCTTTTCTCCATCTTTGTTCTTTGGTTCATATTGTGTTGTTTCTTTTGTTTCCATCCCTCGATTTCTTTCAGTCGGGACGACGGAGGATTCGGTCTTCGGCTGGAGTTCCGTGTTACCAAAAAGAACGTCCTACGTTTTGATATGCCAGTGACTTCGTGGGACGATGAAGACGTTGATCAGATGCCGGCGGATGATGATGTTGACGATGTTGAAGATGATGATGATGATGATGCTGATGATGATTATTTATTGTTAAATGTTTAAGAAGCCATATCGTCAATTAATTTTCTTGTCTTATTATTGTTAATTTTTTCCTGCAGACCTAAGCATTAGGTTGGTTCATCACAGCCTCAATCACGGCCTTCTCCCAAACTACAGTCGGTCTTCAGATGCAAAAGATAAAATCATTTAGAAAGTATACAATACATTACAGGAAATTTATAATGTTTCAGTAAACAATTTTAAATAAAAGCCCATCGTGGTTAAAGAATGAAAACGGTAACTTAGCATTTATTTTATATAGAGCTAGTCGAATGAATTGAATATAAAAAACCTTTTTGGACTTGATTCATTTTGTTTTACTTTGGTTTATATACTTGACACCGGATGGAGAAGCTTGAAACATTGCCCAAACCTTAATAAATTCAACTTACACTCATAAAATGCCGACAATCTTAGAAGTGTACAGAACCGAAAGAAAAACATAACAATCTTTGGAATCAAAGTTTCAAATTCCCCAAACTCCAAAGAAGATGATTGTGTAGAATTCAAGCTCATATATCGTGCTTTCTTTTCAGCATGGAGGCATCTCGGATGGATCATCCTTATTCTTATCAAAGTTGCCAAATCCCCTACCAACAACATGAAAACTATATCTATAAAGATGCATTGGATGATCCATCCCGACAACCGAATGTCCCTTGATGAACCACCTCCACTGTAGAACCATATTCGATCACTCTCACTTCAGTCTTTCTTTCCAATATTTGAAACTCAAGAAGCAATCGGCTATGAAATTGAACACCAACGGTTGATTTGTCGGGAAATTGTTCCCGTAAACACCACCAATACTGTGATAATACGCTGTTAATACATCAATCCACGGGTTCACCAATGATATGTTGTTCAAGCTAGCTCCCGATTGGGTTCCCTTCCGGCCGGTCCACAACAAATGTAATTCTAACAGAGCTTTCCTCGAGGTATATTCCATTAATGGTGATCCAGATTACAAGACACTTTACAGAAGGGAGGGATGACATCATGTAGATAGTACAAATTCCTAGCTTTGTCAAAGAATATGATCTAGGGAATCTAATCATGGCAATATAGATTATACTCACAGGAACATTTAAACCAGAAAGACCATTCTGATATGTTTAAAACACTAATAACTCTTGATACACTACACAGCCATAAAGATAGACCAAAATCAGCATAGAAATAGACATATTATGTTTCTAGCTATTACTCATCGAGCACTTTAATACAATCGAGTAAAATGTCAGCAGCAATTTCCAATTCTTGCTCTGAAATAATCAAGGGAGGCACAAGCCTAACAACATTTCCTTTCCCTGCGGTCAGGACAAGCAGACCAGATTGTCGACATGCATCAACAAGTGGTGAAGCAGAGACATCCAGCTCCATGCCGATGATGAGCCCCAAGCCCCTAATTTCTTTCACATGTGGGTTTTTCCCTAAGTTCTTGGTCAACAGTTCTTTAAAATACTGGCCTTTCTTTGTTACACTGGCAAGGAAACTAGCCTCCGAGATCTTATCCAATACAACAGTTGCAGCACTACAGACAAGTGGGCTACCAGCAAAAGTGCTACCATGGTCTCCAAACTCTATGGCGCTAGCTACCCTTTCAGATACTAGGACAGCGCCAATCGGTAGACCACCAGCAAGAGGCTTTGCAAGAGTCATTATATCTGGATATACATCATAACGTTCATGTGCCCAGAGATAACCAGCCCTACCTAAGCCACATTGAACCTAAAAGAAGACAAAAACTATGTATTACCACAATGCGCCAAAGGCTGGGAAATAACTTCTAAAACTGAATAGCAACACTAATAGATTGATTCACTATTTTTAGTAGCACAGGCAACACTATGCCAACAGAGGAAAAGCTCAATATATTCATGATTGGGGCATTCCACTAAATTTTATAACAAAAATATATGCTTACAAACTTTTCCATCCCATCAAAACACTTTCTAAGGCACAAAGCTCAACACAAGGGTGATGAGCAGAAAGTCTAACAAACTTCAAATATATATTTTCTTTATGAAGATTTCCGAATGCACACATCTGAATAGAACTAACTAGAAAAGCTTAAGTAGACTTTGTGGAAAAAAAATAGCACAAGTAACAGATAAAAGGAAGAGACTTCTTGCATGAATAGAACAGTACATCTCACTTAGCCAAAATTTTTGAATGTGAGTGTAGTTGCTTACCTCGTCAAACACAAGAAGCGACCCAGCAGTGTCACAGGCTGTACGCAATGCTTGTAAGAATTCCTTTGTTGCACTGTATATACCCCCTTCGCCCTGGATAGGCTCCACAAACACTGCCGCGATCCTACCACTGTGAATAAGATCCACCGCTGCTTGAATATCACCATATTCTAAGAAATTGACTCCAGGCATCACAGGTTCAAATGGTAATCTGTAATGTTCCTTGCTTGTCAAAGCAAGAGCTCCCATGGTTCTTCCATGGAAGCAGTTACTGAAGGCAATGAACTCCATAGGTGGCTCGTTTTCACCAGGGTGAGAAGATCTCTGGAATTTCCGAGCAAATTTGATTGCAGCTTCATTGGCTTCCGTTCCGGAGTTCGTAAAGAAAACACGATCAGCAAAAGACCGATCAACTAGACGCTTTGCAAGCTCCACCTGCAGGACCAACCTTGTTATGTTGAATAATATAAGATCCAAAATCTTTTCATTCCGAAGATTACAGTTCAATTCATCATTTTCTGATGGAAGCCCCCATAATAAGCATTAAGAATTCAGAAGCAAAAGAGGTCCATTGTACCATTGTGGAGGATAAAAGGAGACAGATTGAACATCGATACAGTATTTCTATGCACTATGCATAGCTTAAAAGTGATGCGAAAAAGTACAGGCAGCTTCATGTCAGGTTTCAGGTAATAGCTAGAATCAAGAAGAGAAGTTTCCTTTTAGCTTAGTTTTCTGTTTTACCTATATTCCGTTAGTTTCAGGCATATTGGAATTAGCAAACAAGCAGCTATAGGAATAAGCAAGACACGTCGAATAGAGAATTTCTGCAGCTCCGTTATCAATGTTTCTTGATTATTGTTATTTTAAGCTTTCAAAAACTCTGTCTTTCTCAAATCCTACAGCTAGGGTTCTCCTCGTTAATTTCCAATTCAGTCAGTTTATCCCATCAAAAAGTCCAGAGCAAGTTCCTAGTTCCAAATTGTTGCAAAATGTGAACTTAGAAAACTAATGCAACAACCATATTTGTTTCCACACCACCCCAGATTATCATGCTTTTGATTGAAGGGAACATTTTCAATGTACATTACCGAAAATCCCATACTATAGCAGTGACAGCAAAACAACTAAATGATGAATCCAAAAGTTACTACATAGTCAATAAAATTCCCATTCCATATTTGCTTCCACATAAACTCCGACTTCCATCTAAGACATTCCAAAACTGTGTGTATATATTGCTTTACCTGAGGAACAGAGTAGTATATGTTGCTGACATGGGTGAGTGTGTCAGCTTGCTCCACAATCGCCCGCTGCCAATCAGGATCACCATGGCCAAGTGCATTCACGGCAATACCGGACATCAAATCCAAATACTCCTTACCCTCAACATCATACAGTTTACAACCTTTGCCATGGGACAGCACAATCGGGACCCTAGCATAAGTCCCCACCAAAACCCTTTTCTCGTCATCGATTATCTCCTTCGTCTTACCCGCAGCAACATTTCCCTTCTGGATCACCTTTGATGAGGCCGCCGCCTCCTCAGGGGCGGAAACGTCGACATTCAGGCATCCAAGTGGGGTGGGAAAATGGGCATTTTTGAGATACCGAAATGGGTGGTGGCGGCGGCGCTGTAAATGGGTGGAGGGGGAAATTGGGTTATTGAAGATTAGATTGATTGAGCTGCTCATTGATGATTGTTTTGGCGAAATTGGTTTCGGAAAGAGATTAGGGATTTGACTAGAAGAATTCGGGGCAAGACTAAAAACCGACCGTTGACGACTGGGTCTTTAATTAGGGATTTAAATTGTTTGTTTGTCCTTTTCGTTTGACTTTTCTCTCATTTTACCTCAAAAACACAAAACTTAATGCACTATCTAAAAATTAATTTAATTTATCTTTTTAAAAATATTTTAAATATTAATTTTACTTAATTTTTATCAACCATCACCGGACCACCTCAACCACTGGCCGCCACCGCCGCCGTCGGACCGCCGACCAACTGGATTCCAGGAAGCTGGCAAGAATCTGGCAAGAATCTGGCCGGCCGGTCACCGATGGTAAGGGTGTTCAACCGACCGGTTAGCCGGTTTACTGAATCGGTTTCGGTTGTCAATTTTAGATAAAACCGACAAACCAACCGATTAAGTCATCGGTTTAACGGTTTTGATTTATCGATTTTCGGTTTAATACCGGTTTAACCGATAGTATTTGTCATATTTTTTCAAACAAAATATAATTGATATTTAGCTTAACTTTTAAATTTTGTTCTACTAATTTATATAGTTCATATCATATTTTAAGCCCATCAAATAATGAAACTCTTTTTTAAACTCTAAATCTACATTAAAAACAATCAAAACTTTTTTTTCATAATAATCTATTCAACCAAAAAACATGTTATTACAACAAAACTTTTTAGTAAAATAATTTGACAAAATGAAAAAGATTAATGAAATACAAGTGTGAAACATATAAAATTTTTCTATATTTATAAATTTTAGCCATCGGTTTATTGGATTTTGGTTTAATTACCGGTTATTCGGTTTAACCGAGAAAGATATAAGCAAAACGGAAAACCGAACCAATTAACCGGTAAAAAACCGTTTAACCGAGACCGATTAACCGATTGTTCGAATCGGTTAATCGGCTCGGTTTTATGTCGATTTTTGGTCGGTTAATCGGTGTCGATTTTTTTGGACACCCCTAGCCGGTGGTGGAGGTGATCTGATGGTGAGAGAAAATTAGTTTTGATGGTCACTAAACTATTGTAAAGTCTTCAATTTGGTCATTGAACTATTTTAATTTCATAAATGATCACTATATTATAATACTATGCAAATTAAAAAACTAAACTAGATTTTAAATCTCCTCCCAAATCTAAATAAAAAACTAAAACAAAATATTGTCCAAACACCATAAGATTTTCCTTTTTCTTTTCTTTTCGAACAAAACAAATTGATCCTATTTGCACTTCCCTATATACTCCTTTCATTCTGAGATATATGTCGTTTTAGAGTTTACAAAATTTTTAAAACATACTCTATCTATCCAAAAAAAGATATTCAGTTTTATAAAAAATCGTCCTAAAAAAGTAGTCCAGTTTCAGCAAAGTCAAAATTAAATTCGATTACAATGAATGAATTATCTTTCGAAGGTATCTAAGGTCAAATTTAAAAATAAGAACCGAGATCTAAATCAATTGTGTAGCCAAGCTCCCCACGCACATGTAGCCGCCATCACTAGTGATGCCTATTCTTCTGTCGCCGGAGGATTGCGGTTCTATTACCCAATCACCATTGCCAATCTTCTATGCTCCTCCGTTATTTCATCAAGTAGCTGAAATCCGTTGCTCCTTTCGATTTAGATTTGTTATGCTCCTATCTCCGACTCCTTCCATTTGCTATGCTCTCATCTCCACTAGCAAGATGATTCTATCATAACAATTGCTAAAATCTTCTTCTACATCATCTTCTCTTCTTCTTAAACTGTTTTTGTTCTTTTTGTTGTTTAATAAAGTAGGTAGATGGATGCTATATACCTTTTTATGCTCTGATTTTATGTTAAAAATTTGTGATTTTTACGGTTAATTCATCACTGAATATGAGAAGATGACGAGAAGAGGAAACTGCCGATTTGAGCCTGGCTATATTATAGTGGTGGTTTTTGGCCTTTTCCAGTTCATGTCCTCTGAAAAGCGGCGCACTATATTCTCCCGAGAACAGGGGACATATTTGTGCATTAAAAAATGTGGAGGGTAAGAATAGAAGTTAGAAATTTAAAATGAATTGTATCTTGATAGTTGACTGAAATTAAAAAGTTGTATATTTTGAAACTGGACTGTTTTTTTTGGGATGGAGGAAGTATGTCATTTTACAAAATCTAGATAAATTTTATCCATTTTTTGCAATATTAGCCTTAGGATATCTCCATTCATAAACCAACCCCAATCCTATAAACTATCCACGTCAACATTCCACTAACAAAATTAATATTAAATTTTATTACACCTCCTCCCATAATAGTATAAACCATCCTAGTTTATACCCAAGATTATAGAAATGACCCACCATGGACCCACTATAAACTACATCAATTTTTATTAGAAATTATAAATTTTAAAATAGAAAATATATTTGGAATAATTAATTAGTATTAAATAATTATTAGAAAGTTAAATAATTAATTAATATTAAATTAGATAATTAATTGAAATTTAAAAAGTAGATATTACATAACACACAAAAAAAAAACATGACACCAAATAATACAAATTCTAGCAAAAGAGACATTAAACATCACAAAATAGCACATGAAAATTAAAAATTACAATCACAACTAACAACATCAATCAAAATAAATTTAACACAAATTATGAAAAACGTAATACGTTAATTGTCACCACCATTGCCTCCAAACCGTGCCCAAATATGCTTGATTAAATCTCCTTGAAGTTTATGATGTTCTCGACGATCACGAAGTTCTGAGGTCCGTTCGAGATAACGTTGAAAATTTCCAGGGGCACCTTGAGTTGGATTAACACGACCTCTGTCATTATCATCGTGCCAATTTATTGCGTCATCTCCTTCATCTTCTATAATCATATTATGTAATATGATGCACGCATACATTACTTCCTTCAGTTTCAAGCGACTCCAAAGCCGAGGTTTACCATGGATGATAGACCAACGAGACTGAAGCACACCGAATGACCGTTCAACATCTTTCCTAGCAGACTCTTGCATTCACTTAATAAAGTTCTTTTTTTATCCATTGGACATGTGAAACTCTTCACAATTGTTGCCCATTCGGAATATATATCATATGCCAAAAAGTACGCCTTATTATATTGTGTGCAGTGGACCGTAAATTGAACGTTGGGAGCAATGCCGTGCAACACATCGTTAAAAACTGGAGATTGGTTGAGCACATTGATGTCATTGTTAGAACCAGCAATTCTAAAAAAAACATGCCATATCCATAAGTCAACTGATGCTACTGCTTCTAGTATTACAGTAGGACATCCAATAACACCTCGAGTAAATTGACCTTTCAATCCAACTGGACAATTTTTCCACTCCTAGTGCATACAATTAATACTCCGAGCATACCTGGAAAACCATGGGGCTCTTCATGCATACATAGCAGAAGTTCTACGTCTTCAGCAGTGGGTCTTCTCAAAATATTGTGGCCCGAAAATCTCCATCATGTACTTGAAAAATTTTCCAGGCATTCTATTGCAGTAGTTTCTCCAATCCGGATATACTCATCGCAAGAGTCAGCAGTAGTTCCATAGGCTAACTGTCGAATAGCAGGAGTAACTTTCTGAATAGGAGAAAGACTGTTTGCACCTGCTGCATCATGCCGCAACGTAAAATATACTCAGTGATTTGAAGGGATTTAGTAGAAATTACAATCTTTTCAAAAATATAAATAAAGATGGTAAAGGAAAATGGACACCATTTTTCAAAATCAAACACCATTACATTAATAAGTTACATAATAATACAATAGAAATTACAAAGACAACAACAACACAAACTTCATAATGAAAAGTACATAATGATAAGAAGTACATGCAATTTTAAAAACAATTAAGAACTACTGAAAACCATACTTCTTCTTGAGATACGCAACAACTTGCAAATGCAAGGCTAGCTGTTCCTCACTCATCCCTGTTGTATTTTTTATCATTATTGCATAATCCCCGGCAAAAGAACAACTATCCATGGTTGTTTTCAATTCTTGAACTCCTTTGTTTCTTTCAAGCACCAAATTCCGAATTTCTTCAATAATCGGATTCAAATTTGTTTCACCTACTTTAGATTTTCCCTTTCTCTTTGCAGCCTTTTGACCCTTCGGACGAATTTTGCTTCACTGTTATCCTTTTCAACTTCTGAATCTTGATTGGACGAAGAAACATACGCCCTGCTTTCTGTGGTCTTTGTCTTCTTTAAAGGTTGTTGTACCTGCTCAACCGTCTTCCACTTCGGGTCATTTTTCAACACGAGCCATACATGGTCAAGCGAAAACCGTTTAAAGCTACTTTTTTCATAGAGGGTACAAGCGGCTGCCTGATATTCTGGTTCACCCATCAACTATGATATTCAGTAACCAACCTATTATAGTGTTGGCTGAATTCGTTTGCAATGGCATTAATCCAATGCCAATGGGATTTGATGTTGTCCCTTTCCCATGCAAGCCCAGACCTTCGATTGTTGTTGTAGTAGTTGGCAACTCGTTCCCAAAATGTCCCTTCTATTTGGTCAGTGCCCAAAATACTATCACTTGAAATGGTGAGCCAGGCTTTTGCAAAGTCCTCATCAATGTTAACATTCTAATTTTCCTTTTTATTCACTTTCCTTTTTTCCTTTCTTTTTACTGCTGCATTTTACCGGTTCATTGACAGTGATGTCTTCAACCCATGGTTGTTTTGAATATGCGGGAGTTTGAGTATCCGACATAGATGTGCCCGGTGTCGCATTTCCTTTGGCGAAGTTGAGATTATGGAATCCCGTCATATTTTGACTTCCAATCATAGGATTAAAATAGTTGAGAGAAGGATATGTTGGAATTTGAAAGGAAAAATTTGGGACATTTTTGAAATTTTGTTGACTTGGGATATTTGGTATGCCTTGAAAATTTTGTGGAAGGTTTTGAAAATTTTGTGGAAAGTTTTGAAAATTTAGTGGGTATTGAGAGCTCACCGAATTTAATGGAATTTGAAAATTAAGTGCATTTTGGAGATTCGATGAGGTGTTTTCGAAATTTG